ATGGATCCTAAATCGTAGGATCTTTGGAATGTTTTTAAGTACATAAACTAAAATACATATGATGTGTAGTGCCGTGACCCAGTGCAGTTCCTGAGGTTCTTGGGGTTAAGGACCGGTGGGAAGATGAGAAAAATAAAGAAAAGACAAAGCTGGGGTCAGGTGGAGCCCTTATCCTCCTGAAGGGAGGAAAGGAACTGCTCAGCCACTGTAGCACCCTTATTTATATCCTGGGAAAGACAATGTCAGTTTCAACCCCTCTGCCTAGCAACCCATTGCCTGGCAGGCCTGGGCCCCCCTGCCTTCTTGGTGCTAGAACAGCTTGTTTACATAGCTTGTTTTGGTCTCTGTTTTTTCTGGGCTGGCCTTGCTTTAGCCTGACAGTGTGCTCAATCTCTAGCGTTAATGGCTCCCTACAGTGTAAAAAAAAAAAAAAAAAAATTGATTATGTAGAATTAAATGATCAAAACATTATAACTGTGGCTTCTTTATTCATGAATTAAATAGCCAGGCCTAGCCTCAGATATAAAAATGACTGTTTAACTACTAAAAATCTTATGTACTGCTGTGATTAGTTTCCTATATTCTTTTTTTTTTTTTTTTTTTTTTCTAATTCCCCCTGTACTGGGGATTGGATCCAGGGAGTGGAGGGCTTCACCCCCCAGCCCTTCCTACTTTGAGCAGGATCTGACTGAGTTGCCCAAGAACTCTAACTCCAGAGCCTCCTGCCCAGCTTCTCCAGTAGTTACAATTGTTTCCTGCATTTTTTTAGTTAAGGAAGTACAGATTTCATACTGGTGTTACTGCAAGTCAGTGGCAGACCTTCATTCAGTGTCTGCTGTTCTCGTTAGACAGAGTTACTTGCTGCACTACCCACTGGTGCTTCACACTTCTGCCACATTCTCTGCTATTTTGACTTTGCCCAGCATGTAGCACTCTGACTTTTATTATCCCTAATTGGAATTAGTGTATTTTAACTATAAAACTTCTTGAGCTGAGAGCCCTGTTTCCTAACGTTTTGACGTGACCAACCAGGAGTTCTTAAAAAGCTCAGGCAGGGCTCATCTGCAGATAGTGATATGTTACTTCAGACTGCCAAAGGAAGGGATAGAATTCCAAAAAGGCAGACTATGAAAAAAAGCAGTCTTGTCTATACTGAGAATGAGACTATTTTCAGTTAGGAAGCATCTGCACAGTTTATATACTTTAAATAGAGTATGGAAATGATAGACCCAGGTTTTAGAAGTCTGTACATGTGTTTAAAACTGTTCAAAAAGCCACTCAAATGTAGCATCTGACTTGATGACGACAACCCTGTGAGGTGTTGGCAAGCCACTGTTTACGTGGGTATGTAAACTAAGGCTCGTTTGCTTATTTGGATGTGTACAGCCACAACCACACATCTGTAGGGTGTTGCCCTTTCAAATAAATCCAGTCATTTTCCTAGGCATTTTATTGTTCTTAGGGCTAAACATGTGGATTTAGAAAAAATAACTTATGTTTTATATGAAGTCCTTAATTACATTTCCTAAAATGTTGTTGAAACCTCATCTTAGAAAAGCTTATTGTGGAAGTTTGTTATTCATGCTTGCATAGCCTTGAACTGCACACCTCATACTGATTGAATAATTCTGCCCTGGTTGATATGCACTGAGAATACTTAGGACTTCAATAAAAGGGCTAATTGTTAGAGACTTTCTTTTCAGTTTTCAGAGTGACAGTACAGGTTAATCACTTGGTAGAGAACACATAAATGAAATGCTTGTGGTTGTTCATGATGATCACAAATAGGAATTTGATTATACCAGAAGATGAAATATGTAATAGAAATGCTAGTCAGCGAATACATTTTTTATTAATGAATGAGTTCATTGGATTTCATGATTGATGCTACCCGAAAGAAATGTATATGAAAATACAGTGATTGCAGGGTGAGAGAGTGCATAAAAATAATAGGGGAGTGTGAGGGGAAATCTGTGTACTTTGATCTAACATTCATGAACTGGATTAGAGTCTGGTATAGAAAATTTGCAGTAATTCTCTGAAATCAAGTAGATGCACCATACTTTCTGGTTCTGGAGTTTTCACTGCTATTTTTTAAAGTTTCCATTGTAATTTGCCCAATGTACTTTTTCTTTTTCTTACTTATGGAGTGCTGTTTGAGGAGGCTAGACATGCTGTGGTCACAGAAGAATGGGCAGCCGTGTACTGGGTGTTGCAGAGGAAGGGAGGTCATCTGCATCTGAAATGTGCACAGAACTTAGGGGATGGGGAGGCTGCCAGGAAGTGGAATGCACCAGGAGAATAGGGGTGAGAACGGCTGTGTTAGAGAAGTGGTTTGCATTGGGTGAAAACAAAAGATGAGACTGAGGTCAGAGGTAGGGACCCTTGACTACCTGGAATGGTTCGGGTTTTGTTCTGTGGGCCTTCAGGTTGGGGCGCACATCTTATGAGGGTACAGTTCCATGGAGTGTGTAAGTGCCTGAGACAAACTGCATCTCCTAGGAGTATCACTGTTGGGAAGACTGTGCGGAAAACAACTGTTTTTGCGTGAAGGTAGATTATGGAGTTTATGCATCTTAAAGATAAGATCCTAAGATTTAAAGTATGGTCCCAGTAGGATTCTAAAAGGTATTTATGCTTATAAGCCATTTTATCCTACAGTTTCAGAACCAGTGAGGGTCTGCTTTTATTCTTAAGTGTTATATTTCAGTAAATAAGCTTGAAAGACATTTGTCTAAGCAGTATGCCATTATACATTCACCATAGGAAGATGGAGGGGAGATATAAAATGAATGGGCTGGGTAGACTGATTAGACACTCCAGGACTTGGGGTAAAGGCATCCTTGAGAAGACAGTTTATCAGGTGAAGGGACCTTTCGAAAGGAGATCGTCCTGGACTCGGCGCATGATATCAGAGAGCTGGTTTACAAAGTTAAGAGCCAGAGGTGTCTTCCAGGTTCCAGGCTTCTGTGACTGCAGGCAGGGTGGCAGTGTTAATGGATGTAGGGAAGTTAGGAGGAAGGCAAAAGGCCTGGAAAGGACAGTAGAGACACAGGAAGGGGCTGACGAATTCCTTATTTGACATGCTGAATTTGAGGGACTGTCCAATGTCAGGGTTCTCCGCTAGGCAGGCAAGCTGCTGGGAACATGCAGTTTTGGGGAATTGATTTGTGGAAAATAGATGAGTCATAAAGGTGAGCAGACGGCATGTCTGAGGCTCAGGTAGGAAGGAGGATGAAAGGTTGTGTGTTTGTCCACAGCAAGTGCTGACAAGGAAGGAGCAGGGTTAGGAGACAGGCATGGGGGAGGGCGACCCGTGGGGCACGAGTGTGCTGGTGCTGTGGAAATAGCTGGACAACAGCTGTGCACAGGGACCAGAGAGATGGAAGGGAGAACAGGGAGCAGATGGGTGGGGGAGGCCCCCACAAGAGCGTGTGAATTCCAGCTCTTCAGACAAGCGGTCGAACGCATAGAAGCACGTAATTTTGGGAACATACAGGGCAAATGCCTATCTCTTTCTCTGCCAGAATTGTCAACCTGAGCTTTTATGAAGAAAAAAATCTAGTTTAGAATCCTTAAAAGGAGCAAAATGAAGCAGAGTATATGAGAATTTTGAAAAGTAGAAAAGGGAAAACAAATTCAGGAAGCAGTTGGTGTGTTACATAATGAGGTTTTTATATTCAAAAATTTCCTTACTTTTAAAAGCCATTTTGACATTCTGGCACTAGAAATTGTATATTTCAACAGTGTGGGCTGTGTTGGGTTCTGAAATGGCCTTTATTCTTGTGTTTTTCTGGAAGACTATTTATGTAGGACCCACATAGGTTATACATATCTTTTATGTATGAAATATTTAAAAATATAATAATGGATAATTAAAAGTGCATAATACTAAGATAAAGAATATTTACCAAGATAATACACTGTGTAAATTGGGTATTATATCCTTTGAAAACTGTTTAATTCAAAGTTTTGTTTCGGTAGTTTCATACCCAAAAGTAATACTATGCTGCAAAAATTTGTGTCAGATAGTCTTTGGGATCTAGTGTTTAAATTACTTAAATTAGAAATAACTTAGTTATATGTTTTTTTTAATGTTGATAAAAAACTATGAGAATTGAAATTTCTACAATTTAGGGACCAAGTCTTTATTTATTAAATTTTAAAAATACATACATGCCTGACCAGCTGTTTAAACATTTGAAGATGTTTTATGATTATTTAATACCTGCACAAAAATGTTAGACTCATGGTATATCCAGAAGGAGTAAATCATTCTTAAATGTTGATGCTGCAAAGGCATTCATTCTGACATACATATTCTGATAAGGTTCATTTAAAATTATTGGTTTACACAATATTGTGTTAAAATATATAAAATGCATGTGGTATAGACAATAACAATACAGTAAGACACATAGATACCTGATAGTGTGACTTAGTGATTATTATCATCTGCTGTACCTGTAAAAGACGGTGACCCCATTTTAATTCAGTACTTCATCCTGCTCCAATTTGGCTTTAGAATACATTTACTCCAAATTGTTTTGCAGAAAAAGAAGCATCAGTTTTAAAATTGGATTTCCGCATGTCCTCTGAACCACCTGAAATTTTGTCTTGAAATTAATATTTCATTTGACAAATATAAAATTATCCATCTTTTATGTTTACTCAATTTTAGAATTTTAAGAAAACTAGTTTTTTTTTAAATTGAGGAAATTGTTAAATTAGTCCATACTTTTATGATAAAAATTTTAAGTTTTCTCATTTTAAAAGTTATTTACAGATTCACCTATTTGCTATAATTTAGATTGTGACCATCTAAAATTTATTCCTATATCACAAAATATATGGACAGAGTATATAAAAATTTGATTGAGAAAGGTAAATGGTATTCTTTGAGTTGATGTGATGATATTTAATGTTGATAGTGACTTTAAAATTAAATGTATTTTGCAAACCTCTCGTTAAGGATGAAATAACCAGATTATTAAACTAAAGAAATTTGAAATGAGTTTAATATTTAATTTGTTGTCTTTGAATTTTCATCTACTCATTCAAAGCTTTCTAAATTTTTTGGATGAATTAATATTTTGGTTGATTTGATAGAGTATAAGTTTCCATTTGGAGACCTCCACCATATTCCTCTTCTCTTCTCTGTCTTAGATTTTGCTCTTGGTTTGTTATATTTGCCATTTAGGTTGTTTCCGTCACATGCATCATGCCACCACCAGCCTCCTAAAGGAAGATACAGAATTTAATGAGTACAGACTCACTTAGAGTTAACTGCTACTCTATTTCTCTGTGAATATACTGTTTCTTTTGAATATGACAGATTTGTAGATCCATGTATCCCAATTTTAAGTACTTTGCACAGCTCTTGTGTATACCAGGAAAAAGACCCCTCAGGAGGATTAGAGCTAAAATACCTAGTTGAGCTATAGCAGCGCTGTTTCTAAATCATTGCTAACAGATTTTTATAGAGGAAATGCATAGCTGAGAATAAGATTGGAAAGAATTGGGTTACAGAGTTGCTAAGAACTATGGGAAGGCATTTCGAAGGTATGAAAACAAAGCATTGGCAGTGGAAGAGGTACCTGAGTAACTTTCTGAGCAATTCAGGTGTCTTGCTTTATGATCCCAGGTGGAAAACATCAAGTCTTTGTGTTCTGGGAACACCTCGGGACCATTGCCAGTCGCCCCGGCCAGGTGTAACAGATAGTTGGTTTCATGACTTCCCAAGTGAAAAGAATATTCAACGTGATACTTGTTGTCTTTCCAGTCTTCTAGTTCAATTCGTAAAATGTAACTAGATTGCTTCGCTATGGAATATATCTTTTCCAGGCCCAGCCAAAATTCTCCTGAAAAGAAGTTTAACAATCTGTGGATTGCTAATTACACATTAAGCCCTGAGAATTTTTTAAAGTGTTCTTACCTTGTGTAAATAAGTTAATTGCTTTAGTCTTGAATTCTTGGTTATTTTAATAGACTTTTAAAGTACTTACTTTTAAACAATTTTATCAGTGTTAGCTTATGCAGAAACAATGCTAAAATATTAGTAGACTTGTCTAAAAAATGATTGGCATTTCTAAAATGGATATTACAAGATAACCTACCATTTGACACATATTAAGCTATTACAAATCTTAGATTTAGTCCTTTGTAGAATGTCACTGCTAAGTACTTACCTGTGTACCAACTTTACTATCAGCTGTGTATCGACAGTCACAGACAGTAAGAGCTTTGTAAAGTGTTTCCAGATTTGAATAATAGTAATGTCATTTTTCTCAAATACAAACTTGGCCATTGGTATTTGTTTATAAATGTGTTTTCTTCATAAAGAAGGGCATAAATTTTTAAAAATATAAAATTGAATGCTTGATTCTTAATAACTTTGTAATATTAGAACTAGCTTTTTTTGGAATTGAAGATATAAGGAAAAGTAAGTCTTTTTTATCATAATCCATATTAAAGTATTTAATGGAAAAAAGTGTGTATTTTATTGTTATTCAATTAGTTGGATTCGCCATTTGAAGATTCTAAGTGTAAGTATAAATGGCTTTTTCATCAGAAGTAAGTTAACTGGGCCTGGGGATTTAGCTCAGCAGCATAAGTGCCTGCCTTGCAAGCAGGCAGTCGTGAGTTCGATCCCCGGTACCGATAAAAAGGAAAAAGACCAAAAAAAAAAAAGAAGTAAGTAAACATTTTGGACTTAACTGTCAGTCTAGTTTTTGGGTTTCATGCTCTTTAAAAAAAGAATTGGAGCCACAAAACATCCCTGTATATACCTGTTAGGAATTTAACTGGAACTTTATATAGAAACTTTCAAGTCCAGTATTGTGACATACACCTATAATTTCAGCACTCGAGAGGCTGAGGCAGGAGGATCACTGAGAGTTCAAGGCCAGCCTGAACTGCTGTCTCAAAAAAAAACCATTAACAAAAACTTAAATGGTCAAAACATATTGAGTGTTTAGAAATTTGGTATAATAGAGATTTTCTACTTTATAAGTGAACTTGTACATCTATTGATTTTCATGACATGCCTTTTGGACTTCAAACATTTATTGCTTTCCTTTTGTTTGCTTACTTTATATTGGTTAGTGTTTAAAATAATTTGCATTGAGTTCACGAATTATTTGAACCAATATTCTGTAGTATACATTTATAAGATTTAAAATACTTGGAATTTAAAATTGTATCCTGTGTATATATTAATGTTTTCCTTGCCTCTTTTAACTTCTTATTTTATTATTACTTTTTACTGAGAGTGGATCCCACAACCCCATATGTGCTAGGAAGCATTCTGCAACTGAGATACATCTTTTATTCCTTCTAAGTTTTAATTAATTGTTTAAAATATTAATAAGAGAATACAGTAATACTAGGAATGATTATCTTTGCAGTTCATTCATGGTACTTACCACATATCAATGCATGTAGTACTTAGAATTTTCTTTAATAATTATAGTAATTTAAGCCATTGAATTGGATAAGTATAGTTAAGGATTATGATAAATTTAACTCAGATGATGACTGTGATGTTATTACCAACAAATGTGTATTTGTTAATACATTTTATGGGGTCTGGAGCTGTTTATTGTTCATTATTGCTTTTCCAGTGTCCAGTCCATAATAGGTTCTCAATAAATATTTTAAAATTAGCATATGAATGAATGATTAAATGAAGTCACCTTACCATCAAGCTTCCCAAAGCCATATTTGTACTTCTTCCATGTTTCATTGAAATTTTGTAATCCATCTGTTCGGTGTTGAATTAATGTCCATGAACTACCTGATTATAATGAATGAAATTTTGTGTATTTAGAAGATTAGTGTTGACAGATGTCAAAAAATTTTTTAAAGTTTCGCTGTAATTGGTGGTTTTACAAAGTAGTTTGTTAATGTGGTAATATAGGATAAGTGAATCGCTTTATTATTTATTATGGTCCCAAACTGGTAAGTGAAGGGCGACTAATTAATTTTTTTCTCAGTATACTTACTGCTAATGGTCACTTCAGATTATTTTATAGAAGAAATAGAGAATATTGAATAAGTAAATAATACACATTGTAAGTATTTAGAATTACATGAGTGCCTACCTGTGTTTCACAGTGTGTCTATTTAGGACAAAGGTAACAGGCTTAGCCTTGCTAGCAGTAGGTACTGCATAATGGGGACCATCCATAGCCCATTTCCCCCGGGCAGGTCTTACCTGCCTTGACGTCACAGTGAACATGAAACACTTGAGAATTGCTGGGTCTAATGGCATATGTGCCACTTCTGTGTTCACCTCTCTTATAAATGGCAGAGCAGTCAGCAGGAACATCTAGAATCAACCAGGTGTTGTTATATATAAAATTTAGCAATAAAAATGTCTTTGGAGCTGGAGATTTTACTTGATATTTAATGGAATTGTAGGGAATACAGGTTTTTTTTCCAGTGATATTTATGCTAACTCATTTTAATTAGACAGCAGGTTGTATAAACAACATAAAAGTAGTATTACCAAATACTTATACGTGTTATGTTTTTTAAGTGATATCTTTAAACATTATTACTGTATTTGGTTGACGTAATAAGAATACTAAGTGGCAGCACACATATGACACTGAGTACAGTGTTTAATGCATACCAGTTGCAAGTGTGAATGGAAATATGTGGATAGAGTAAATATGCATGGAAAATGTAACATGAACCTTTTTCTGTATGAATAGCATAAAAAAGTGTTTTGAGGATATATCATATTGTAATTTGACTGGGAATAGAGACTTTGTTCCTGCTACTTCTGTTTTGCTTTTGAAAAATTTCAAGGAAAATGGGAATAGTCACTGAAGCAACCAGTGTGACCTTTGCATCCATATTCAGAGGTTGGTGGCCTTGTGCGGTGTTTGCAGGCGCATACATGTGTACATGTATGGTTTCGTTTGCGCTGTTTGAAAGCAGTTTCCAGACATGACCCTTTAACTCCTTAAACACTTCAGAGTATCTCTTGCACATGGATGTTTCTTTTCCATAACTATAAGATTATCACAGGTAGGAAAATTAATCACTCCATATTTTAAGATGTGAAGTCTGTATTTATATTCTACTGATTGTCAGCAATATCTTTAAAAGCTTTAAAAATAGCCCAGGATTCAGTGTAAATTGACACATCATAACTGATGAACATACCTTTTTATTCTCTTAACATCAGATTCTGAGAATAAGGAATTTGACTGTGCCTTCCAAAAGGAAATCCTCCAGGTTGTCTTACCTTCTTGTTCTGCATTTTTTGTTGCATTTAGCTGAAGAGTGCGAGTAGTTCTTGGTGCTCTTGGTTTGGAAGAAAGAGAATTTTCTGTGAGTTCTTGAATACCAATCCTTCTGAGCTAATAAAAGAATGCAGGACTATTTTTAATAAATGGTACTGAATATACATTTAATATTTAATATTTCTGAACTGATTTCACATGGACAGTATGGAAAATGAGACTATAGATAAAAAGGGACTACTGTACATTTTATTCTTACATAAAATGTACATTGTTATTAATGCCACTGGTTTTGTGAGCAGGGCTTGTTGAGTCACAATTAAAAATAATTTAGAAAATTAAAAGAAAATTGCAAGTAGTGAGCAAAACCTTTTTGGAAAATTAGCATTATTTATCAAAATTTATTCAGTGGAAATCAGTAGTGGTACTTGTTTTGTTGATCTTGGGAATGATTTTTCACTAGCATCTCTGAATGTGTATTTTTTGAACACTTGAATGGCCTTTTAAAAGTATTACTAATACTTATTAAACTATCCTATTTTGTGATTCTTATATTCTGATAGCATTAGTATGAATACCTCCCTGTCTCAGCCAGTTGTTTGTAACGTGGATCAATTTAGTATTTCTGGCACCTGGTTTCTAATGTGAGTAATAATAATCATAGAAAGTCTTTCTGAATGGCTGAGTGCTGAGTTTATTTATTTATTTTTGTCTTTTTGTTTTTTTTATCGGTACCGGGGATCAAACTCTCGACTGCCTGCTTGCAAGGCAGGCGCTTATTCCGCTGAGCTAAATCCCCAGACCCTGAGTATATTTATTAGTTCAACTTCTATTTTTTGAGTGCCTACTATTTGCTACATACTGTTCTATATCCTGAGAGTACAGCAGTAGAAACAGTGGGAAAAATCTCAGGGCTTACAGAGTTCACACAGTAGTTCAGGAGTAGGCACGGAAGATCCTAGAACGCGTACATGAAGGCAAGTGTCAGGGAGATAAAGTTACTAAAGGGCAGGAAGAAGCTTTGCAGAATGGGAGTAGGGAGTTAGAAATTTTGATCAGGTAGCTCAGAAAGGTGTCATTGAGTATGCTGTGTATGATAGAAGATTAAAGGACACCAGGGAGAGAGGCACTGCGCCTTCCCAGGGTGGGAAGCAGGGCAGAGGCCATAGTTCTCAGATCAGGTTGAGATGAAGTTGGGGAGATGGTGAAGGGTCAGAGCAGCTCAGGTCCTGAGAACTAGCATGTGACCTGGGACTCACTGTGGGAGTCTCGAGCCAAAAAGAGGCAATGGTTAGCTTAAAATTCAGTAGGGTCACTGTGGCGGAATTAATGTCTTTTTCTCACAGTAATCCTGTAAGGTAGATTTTGCTACTATCTTTGTAAGACCTGTGAGGAAACTGAACTACCAAGGAAGTAAGTTTTAGAGCTGTGATTCAAACTCAGGTTACGGCCAGCTGCAGAGCCTGCAGTCTTAGTGGGTTGCTGTTGTGATCATTTGCCTCATAAGCCAGTTAATCTTTTAAATAACTTTAGTTAGTCTAGTGTTTAGATAAGCCGACATGTAAAATATTGGACATATCAAAATACGAACTTACCTGGTTTTCTATTTCTTTTATTTGACTGTGCTGTTGGTTTAATTGTTTATATTGTTCTTCTACTATCTGGAGAAGGTCGTTGATGCTGTTATCTTGCTGTTCTACAAAAGTCTGGATATCAACAATAGTTTGATTAAAGATTTTCTTTGTCTTTTCTGCTGTTTTATTTATAACTATCATGATCTAATATTTAGATAAATAGATTGGAAAAATTAATATTGGCAATTGTTTTCACTTGCATGTTTGTGTGTGTGTGTGTGTGTGTGTGTGTGTGTGTGTGTGTGTGTGTGTCTTTTTGGAGACGGGGTCTCGCTATGCAGTTCAGGCTAGCCTTGAACTCACTTTGTAGCCCAGGCTGGTCTCAAACTTGCAGCGATCCTCCCATCTCAGCCTCCTGAGTGCTGGGATTACAGGTTTGAGCCATCATGCCTGGCTACTTGTATGGTTTTTAAAAAGCATATATGATACTCTGAACTCCAGTTATAAGAAAGAAGGCCTCTCAAGTATTGTAATAATAATAATTTCTTAGCACTTGTTGAATTGTGTTTATCTGTTTTTAAACATGGAAGAATGGTTTTAAATTTTTACTTCAAGTCATTTGCCATAGTATAATTAGTAGTCTAAATTTTATTACTTAATTGATTTCTAATTTTTACATGAAATACAAAGTTTAGTTTTCATGTGTATGATTAGGGAAATGAAAACCAACTTAAAATTAGAGTAGAAATTTTATTGTATAGAGGATATTTTTCTTGAAAAATAAAATATTCAACAATGCAGCAATTCAAATAGTATGTCTCAGAAGTACTTTTTGACTCCACATTGAAAACATACTCATGAACCCTGTCTGATTTTTTACTTACTTTAAGTGACGTTACTTCTGGGTGTTCCTGAATGTCAGGTTGATTTTGCAATAGATTAGTTAACTGTTCCTCCAAATATCTCACTCTTCGCTGAAGTAGAAGTTTTTCTTCTAAGAGAGTTTCAAGTTTTGAGTTAAGTTCCAATGACATGTTCTTCACCTCTTCATTTTTGACTCGTAGTTTGGATGTAGTTCTTCTCAGTTCTTCTTCATCTTCTTTAATTTCATTAGTTTGCAGTGATAAATCATAAAAAGACTGATCAAATGTGTTGAGTTTTTGAAATATGTCTCTCATTTGGCCCTTAGTCTTATGGGTAAAGTCTCTAAAACTGTATCCCAACTGAAGGAGGCCGTTGGCTACAGTCTTTACGTCATTTAACATAGCAAATCTTGGTTTTGGCTCTGAAGTTGTGGCATCAAATGATAAATTGTCTTGATCAGTCCTGGAAGAAAGAACTAGAAGAACAATAATGAGAAAGAATTTAATTATGTACATTTTTCCCTAATTATCTAGTTTCAGGGAGTTTTGAGTAATTTTCTCCTCTAAGCAGACCTAGACTTTTTAAGTTTATATATACCAGGACTTGCACATAAAAGGTAAGGTTGGCAGGCAAATGTAGAATGTAGTTAATCATTAAGCTGTGTTAACTTGCACGAATGTAACCTTCTTTCACATTGAGTTAGCTCAATGCCAAATGAAATCAAGGAAATGAGAAATAAAGAGATAATTTGAAATTGCTATTGTTAATTTTGCTATACTATAAATCATGCTTTTAGTGTTAAAGACCAACCTGTTTTTAAAAGCTCTTTTTAGTATTTTATGATTTTAAAATAGATTTTACAAATCAAAATCTTTCGATGGGTAACTTCATTAAAACTGAGGAAAAATTAAAATGAATTAAGTATGCATATCACGAATTGTCTTTTAGTGCTTTTGTAAACAGCTTCTGGTGCCCAGAAGTCTTCCTGTGAAGCTCCCTTTACCCTTTGAGGTGGTGTTACAGCGCTCCTTGTTCTCTTTCGGTGGCGGTCTGTCCCGAGTTAGCATCAGGACATGTTCCTTACTCTTTGTCACTGTATTCCTCTGGTAGTGTGTCTTTTTTTGCTTCGCATTTTGTAGCCATCCCTGTCAGTCATCATGAAATCAGCACAGCAGTGTCTGCCCCTCTCCCCACTGTGTCACGGGCTTTGGGCTCTTCTCCACGTACCCCTGGAGCACTGATACAGACACTTAGCCTTCTTCAGCCAAACGAGAATTAAATATGAGATTCCTCCAGTGTCTGAAGCTGTCATCTGCCCACCGTAGTTTTTTGAAGTTTGTGATCTTAGTGACAATTTTGATATTCTAAATTTAACCAAAAGCAAAGATTAATAATAGGTCTAAAAATGAAAGTTCCATTGTCCTTGTCAGTGTTAAAAGGAAAAATATTAAATGCTTAAATTATAAGTGGTTATCTTCATTCAGTTTTGTATCAAGAACTTTTTGAGAAACTAAATTGACATGATAAAATTGATAATGTGGGTTCTCGAGTCTTGACTGTGGTTTGAGCCCAAAACCTTGTTTAGGTGTTTGCCTTCGAACAAATTATTTAACTTCCTCATCTGTGGTCCTCATTTGTATTGGGAAAACTGTAATGCATAATATATAACTCATTATAAGGATTTTAAAAAAGAGTAAATGGAGAGCACTTACAACTGTGTCTGGCCAGCAGGAAGTTCTCAGTGTTTGTGTATTACAGCAAACTGATTTTTAACTTGTGTGTGTGAATATGTGTATGTGCATGGATGTGTGTTTAATCAGTACTATATAAAATGTTTTTCATAAAGTTCATTGATTTTTTTTTCCTATGTACTACAGATTGTACTTAGGGCTTTTGCGTGAACTACATTCCCAGCTCTTTTTTTATTGCTTGAGACAGTCTCGAATCAGGTTGTCTAGGCAGGACTCAAGATTGTAATCCTCCTGCCTTAACTTCCTAAAGTACTGAGAAGTTAATAGCTTTTTGACAAAGAGAAAATTACTGACATAATCCATTTCAGTTTAAAATTTTAGATTGTCAAGCAAAATTTTACAGAATAAAATATAAGTGAAATAAATCAAACACATATGTAAATAATGCATTACCTCCCTGGTATGAGAAAATGAAAGTGTAAATAAGAACCAAAATGTGCAATAGACATTGTGAAATAGGAAGAAACTGTTCAAAAGGAAAAAGAAACTAGGTGGAAGAGGAAGGAAGGAAGGGACAAGAAAAAGTTTAGGAGGATAAAATGGAAACAGCTTTGTAGATGGGGAGGGGAAGAGGGTTTGAAAGGATGGGACAAGAAGGGGAAGAAAAAAATCAAAATGTCATGTACAGGTGAAAATTCCCTCTAGTGAATATGATAATTATGTATAACTTAATTGTAGCAGTTAAAACTTTAAAAAGAGGTGCTAGGCAATAAAGCAACCCCCTCACCTCCCTGGTAAGCAGCCGTGATTTGAGCAAGTATTGGGCGACCCAGGGAGAAAACCAGCCAGCCAGCATCTTCGGAAATCCATGCCATGTTGGAATTTTGGGCACTGGGAAACCAAGCAACCCACTTGTCTCCCTGGTAACACCCGTGAGTCTATCGGTGTGCGGACTGAGAATCAAACATCCCATACCCCCCGCACTCACCCATTAGCAAATGGGAGCCAGAGGTCTGAGCATCTCTTGGGAGGATGGCCATATGCAATATAGCAAATACGGGGGATTTCCTTCTACCTTCTCTTTGAAGGCAAATACTGCTATTACTGTTTTGCTTTGTTCTGATTAATGGTATTGCTCTATTCAATACTCTGTTTTGATAAGTTTTATGATGTTCTGTATTTGGTTTGATTTTTCTATGCCTGATTGAAAGGACAACTATTGTGAAGATAACGAGATATGCTATGGCACCTATTACTGTTATCCCGGTAACCTACTGTGAAGTTCTGTACCAATTTCATTGCATTGTCTCATTTGGCTTTGTTCTGTTGTATTTTACTGCTTTCAAAAGGAAAAAAAAAAAAAAAAACCTTAAAAGCAAAATTTGTTTCTTAGAAATGCCTCTTCTAGTGTAAAATAGAGCCATTTTTGCTGATTTAGTACTAAGGGGTTGGGTAGTAGTGAAACATAGTGATTACGAACGTGCTTTTGGAGAAATACTGTTTAAGTTGAAATCTTGGCTCTGCTCTTCTTTAGTTCTCTGAACTTTGGTCAAATTACTTAGATCAAAGTTACTGTTTTTTCATGTCGTGTGTAGAGAATAGCTACTCAATGGAAATGTGAAAAAATTAAAATTAGCATTTTCGAAACACCTAGAATATTATCTGTTGTGTAGTGAATACTATACATTACTGTGTATTTGCTTTTTAATACTTAACAAATGCAGTTCAGTGTGTTCCACAGCACTGAACTGTAGTGTTCTACTTGGGAAAGTTGTCCATATTCATAGTAGGGTTATGTAAATGGGAAATTCTGCTAGAATCCAGGTTTTCTGAGGTTTGATGTCTTGAACCTTAGTAAGGAATTAAGTCTCTTAGTTAGCTTGTGTTACTTTTTCTTAGGTTTCTAATACAAAATCATTAATACTTGTAGCAGAAATAATAAAAAGAACACATACTTGCACTAGTGACAAAAAAATGATTTACCTTCGTTTTATCCTTTGCATTGATTCCTGTCAGAATCAAACTTTATATTAAACATTCAGGGTGTCTCATTTAAAGAAAAAAGTTACATCATGATCACTGGTCATGCAGGTCATATTCCAAAACCACTTAACTGAGCGGTCAGCTTTTGTGCCTTAACCCTATGATTGTGGCATTTCCCCCACTTGGTAGTTGAGGAAGAGTCGAGTGGACCCGGCTTTCTCCCTTACTACAATATCTGTGGCATGTTGTCCAGATCTCTGTGTGCTTTTAGCTTATATCCCTTATGAGTCTGTAGTACTCTGGCTTATACTTCATGGATGTAATAACTATTCATGAAGCAGGCAAGAGGGTAATAAAGATGTGACATGAGGGAGTTTCCCAGGTGCAGAGCTTACCCACGGTAAGTCATCTCCCTTTGATATTCAGGTTCTTTTTAGAAAAGAGAGTTTGAAGAGTAGCCCCTTTGGTTGCCTAGAAGTATTGCGGCACTAAAACAAAAAAAGTGGCTACATGGAAGAATTTCCTCCCAAATTGAGTGCTAAGCTAGGATACTGATGCTTCGTGTACAACTTAGCCTCTCGCCTGTAATATCTGCAGGCTAAGTTAATGGTCAGATCTTCTTGGTTCATAGTGTATTGGTTCCAGGTAGAAATACATGGCTGTTTTCTTACATTGGTTGAATTACATTCCTGAACATAATAAAAGTGAATGATCTACCTGATTATAAGCTGCAGATATATTTGGAAAAGGTAAAGAAAATAGTTTCATAAGTGATTTTATACCTACCTTTGGATGCTTCCTTAACACACATTGTTAAAGGCAGAAAGAATGTAATCTTTGCTTGAACTTGTTCCTATTTAAATAACATCCTGGTCAAATATAACCAGTAACTTATTTTTTAAAGTGCAAAAGAAAGTTAATTACTGTTAAGCAGTTTTAGGCACTAATTTAAAGATTCCTGGCTTCTAAGAATGAATACACAAAATGTTTTAGCTATGTAGATTTTTAGGGCATTTAGCAGCCTCTGATATTTAAAATTCTAAGCAAAACAAAGTCCTTTTACTTTCTCCAGGTTATGCAATCTTACAGAGATACGGCTTCTAAATAAAGCACAAAGTATTTGGCTTTTTGCAATATTTCTTTAATTTCTTCCTTACTTGTTTCATGGTTTTTTTCTCAGCTCAGGATAAAATAGGGCCTTCCTTATTCATAAAAGCAAGGGCTCTGTGAGTGAGCCGCACCCCCACCCCAATTTTTGTTTTTGTTCTAGTGCCTAAGTCCTTGTAAAAACTCAGATATTTCAGAAACCTCACAAAAATGAAATTCTTGACTTTACAATCTTCTATTAGGTACAATATTTGGTTGCATGTATGTATCTTAATTTAATCACCTTTGTTAATGATCTTTTAAAACTTTTTCTAATTACAAGCTGTGCATACAAATTTTATCTTGATGTATGTTGCTAAGTATTTCTATAGGCATCTGTAGATGTGGGCTTTACACTATCTGTGATTGCCATTTTCAGGTTCTTTACAGGTCATTTTACATGTCTGAGAGTAGCATCTGATAATTGTTCTTTTCTTGTATACTTTTATCAGTGCTTCAGTGAAAAAGACAAAAATACTGATAATCTAACAGAAATGTACCTACTTTATTGGCTTTTACTCACTTTGTGAAATACCTGTATGTATGGAATTCGTTTCCTGTCCTCAATCTCCCTTTTAAATTTTGTCTTTCTGATTAATTTAGAAATTAGTTACATATTATAGGTACTCTGTGTGTGTATTAACAAGTAGTGTTTTTCTGATTTGTTATTTTTCTTCTACTTATATTTATGGTATAATTTCCTGTATAGATACTTTAAAAGTTATATGTGTTTCATATTTTGTGTGTGTGTGTGTGTGTGTGTGTG